ATTGGTTCGGCGTAAATTAAGTATTTTTTTAGTCAGCCTTCATGATTTTAGCCGTTTTAGTACTGAAAAATTGCGTTAAAACGGCAGGATTTTTTAAGGATGTTATAAAAGTGAGGTCTGCCGAAATAGAGCAACTTAGGACAGCCTTGAATCAGATGAAGAGGGAGTTTGCAGTTCAAGATAGAGAAAATTACTTGGCCAGACAGCGGGCTGCCGATGCGGAGAAAAAATTGTCTGATCAACTATATTTAGGTGAAGACAACATTTTTTTCTACGCTTTACTGTTGACTAGATTATAGTAGTTTATAAGCGTATCAAGTAATTAATGGGATTCCTACTTGTTTATAAAATCAGTTTCAGCTTGTAAGACGAAATGCCCCTCTTGTAAAGTTTTTGAGAAGAATAAAGATATTTTATATGGGCAGATTGCTGATAAGACTGTAATAATCGAGAAAGCAGCAGCAGAGATCGAGGAGGTTTTTTTCTTTTTTAAAGTTTTTTGGTAGGATTTTCTCTTAATACTGATTTGATTGTGTTCTGGTTTTTTTCAAACCACCACTGAAAAAATTTAAATTTCATACTTACCTGCTACTTTTAAGTTAAAAGGAAAGTTGGAAACTAATGAAAAAACAGTACAGCAGTTACAAGGAGAAAAAGCTCGTCTTACTTTTGAAAAAAAGTCTTGGGAAAAGGAAGCAATGCGTTTGGAAGAAGAGGTATTTTTAGCCTATATTTTAAATTTTTCTTCTAAGCTTCTCATTTGTTCTTCTTTGGAACTTCTTGTGAATATTGGTTTAAAATCTCTGTAGCTGTGAAGTAGCCTTTCAGTATTACTTTTAAAGGGCTATTTTTCTTGAGTATTTGTTGAGACAGTGACTTACAAAATGAAACGGAATGATAGAACAATTTAAAAGTTTTCTGCTTTTTTAATTGGTATTGGTGAGGGAATAGCTTGTCTCATAATGACGTTTAAAATGTTTTTATCTAATTTAAGAGTTTTATAGTTGAAGTCAATGAAGTTTCAAAGCGGAGCATTTTCTGCAGTACTGACTCCTCAAACTTCTAATAACTCAACAACTTCTGATGATATTATAGAGCAGCACCTAACTAAGTTAAGCGTTGCCACTCAAACTGCAACTTTATCTGGTTGGGTGATTTACTTCTGACATTTTTTTATTTGACGTTTTAGAACTTGTGAAACAAAGCATTTCTTTTTACTCGACAAAACTCTCACGGGAAAAGAAACTTTTGAAGTTTGTAATTGTCCATGACTATTTTAGGACCGTTCATTGTTGATCATAGGTTTAATTTTAGAAACAAGGATTTCTTCGCGTGCTCAGCAAGACAACCGTTTGAAACAGGGCAAAGATGACGTTGCTTCCTTGGACTTGCTTCCTCTAAAAGTAGACGTCCCACATCCTAGCGCCCCAAATGCTTTCAGCTCCTGGTTGAAACATCCTAGGACTACTGGAATAAAGTCGGAAACATCAGCGGTTTGGTTTTAAGTATAAAACTTTCAAGAATGCGGCGTAATGGAGTGAGATAGGTAAAATAGTACGAAAAGATATTTGAACTTATGTGTAGAGTTACGAGGGTGAGAGAGGACGGAAGATTTGACAGTTGTTTCTTACAAATCTAATATTATTTTTTGTACAGTTATAAAGATTTTGAAGTTGGTTGTAGACTGGAAGGAACGCATCTGTTCGTTTTTCCGGAATAATGTTATAGCATCAGCAAAAGATGGTTTTACTTTATTAATGTATGCTGTAATTGTACTGAGATAAGTGTAAAGTTCGCTTGTAAGACTTAAGAAGTAGTGGAATGGATATTTAATAGATATTTACTTTTTTCGGAATTAACCTATACAAAAAAGCTCAATATTCGGTCATTAATAGTAATTTTAACAAGCATTTTGACTAGCAGGCGATTCATCTGCTACTGAAAATAGTTAGTTTTGACGTTGCAGATTTGCGAGATGGAACCAAATATTTCAACGCAAATCGTGAACTGTGGTGAGCGTTCTCGTAACGCTTCTCACAACGAAGAAAGTGCAAAGAAACGATGTCTCGAAATTGAAAGCTCTTCTTATGTTAAAAACAAGAGCCCAGCGGAAAATCGAACAGCAAATGACAGTCAGGTAATCACTGAATTTTAAATTTTTTTGCCTCAGACTGTTACGGACCTCACACTACTTTTTAATACAAGCGACTTGAAGATATTTCACATACCAAATGAATATCATTTTTCAAAGTAAACTTTATTGGGTAAATAACAGGGAGCATCGTGGAAATTTGATGTGGTTGGAGACAGCTTTGGTAAAGCATGAGCTCGCAAGGTACGAGGAGGTTCTTAGAGTACTTGCTTTTTTACTCATTGATGTTCACTTAAATAAATTTGGGCGGGCAGAAGCTGTCATTTGGTAAGGAGGAATTTTTGGGGCAACTTGAGTGAGGCAGCTTCTCAGCGTTTTAAGAGGCAGTTTTATATTTAATTAAGCTGTTTTGAATTCGACTTTTTTAGCGTAATAAGTTCTTCCCCTTTTAGGCAAGAAGCATCATAAAATTTTAAAAACTTTTTTCAGAATTTCCTGCAGATGTGGATTGTGTTGTATTAATTCAGAAAGACTGCCATGTGTAATTTTCTATACCTGTCATTGCCTTATTGAAAATTAGGATTTTTTTAAATATTAGGCGTCTCTCGTTGGTTTTTTATTTGCCATAATCTGTATTTTATAACGGCAGGGACGGTCACAACAAAATTTTAAGTACACTTGTTGACCCAGTAAAGAAGTAATATTTTCAAAACGATCAAGGGATCATAATAAACTGCCAGCAGCATGAATTCTGCTCGTTGCCTAAATCACAGGACGGATTTATACATCTTCCTGGGGCTTTTTACTTTTGGTGGCTCTTTTCACCCGCATTACTGACTATTCGCAGTCATGCATTGTTTGCAAGTCATTTTATTTTTTTCCAGTAACTGTTTTTGAAGACGTCATGCTAAAATATATTTACATTACCAAAAAATGATAAAATACTTCATTAGATTTATCTTGTCACTGCTATGGTCATTTGCCGACATTTGTTAAGATGCGGCCGTTGAGCTTCGACAGAAAGAGTGGCTCAGACAATTAGTGATTGAAGAAATCTTGTGTAATTACTGAATATTACAGCACTCCAAATAGGCGTGAACCTTAGGTTTTTACATATAAGAATTAAATTTGCCAGCATCACATTTCATTTGTACTGGCAGTCGAGCAGAAGGGGAACTGTATGGTTGGTGATGATATGCAGGTGTAAGCAGTTGCTGTTATTCGACCGGTGTTGGATGAATTAACTGCACCCAGCAAAAAATGACACGAATTCCCAATAATGTAATATTTTATAGTCACTCGTACAGATGGCAGTGTTCATTTATCTGTTCAGGGATGTTTTTGATGAAGGGAGAAGAGTAACTGTTCCTTAAAGGTAGCACTTCAAACCACGTAAGAGAATAGTTCTTATAAATTGTTGGTCTAGTAATTCCTTTATGCTGTGTAGCAGTCAAATTGTCCTGCCATTTTAACAGCTTAAATTTGTTTTTTGATTGTCTGTGCTTTTAGTTCTTGAAAAATGCTTCAAAGATGCAGACGCAAGCCGAAATGCCCAAGGAAGGTGGCTTATCGGACAATCTTTCATACAAAATACCTGGTAGGGCGCCAGATCAGGGGTCTGATATGTAAGCATTTCAATTCTTGGCATTTAAAATTGCTCAGCCCTATAAAAAAGTAAAGCTGTTGGGTAGCCAGAAGACGATTTTAAATGTAAATACTACAATCTGAAGATTGAAAAATTCATTTCAGTGCAGAAAATAGGAATTCCCTCGGCAATGCAAAAATATTTAGCTACCATTCACGTAAAAGTCCCGGTTGTCCGTCTAATGACTCGTTGACTGGCAGGAGACCATCTAAGGTAGCATCTGTTTCTTTATCGCTAGGCGAGTAAATAATATTCCAATTAGCGAAAAAGCAAAGTTTCACGGATAGTGAGTAACACAAAGTCGTAGTTTTCATGGAGAAATCTGTGTCATTTTAAGCGAAGAGCTAGAAAGGGACGTAAAGGCAAAGCTCAAACATCTAGAAGAGATGGTCTTTGTGACTTGTCTCATCCGATACTATCTCGCTCGCAGTCTTCGTCTAGAAAGGTTCTAGCTAAATTTATTTTCCGTCTTTTTGCTTCCGAAGGTCCTTTTTGAAAATCTTTTTTGTTACCGCTTCGAAAGCTTTAGTTTTTTATGTACCGGCACAAAAAAAAGGTTGAAAAATAGTAGCAGGACACAAAAAACTGTTCTGCTAACTTTTTATCGTTTTAAGCGTACCAAAGCGAGTACTGTTCTAGTACCTTAAAACTTTATAGGACGGTAAATCAACGTGGCATAAAGGAACTGCCACAGAAAGTCGACGGCGCAGGGCCCACTTACAACCGTTACGCGTATCTTCTAGTAGAGGGGCTAGTGCTGAATTAGGCGAGAGGCGAACTTTACCAAAAGAAGTTTCTAAAAAGCAATTGCGCCAAGTAAGATTATCAAATGAATTACAAGTTCGTGAAGGCGACCCTCAACCTGAAATCAATTTGAGTCCGCGTGGTAGAAGAGATTTTTTTATGGAATGTCCAGTATCCAGTGGAGCGTAAGTCTCTTGTGAATGGCAGTTTAAGTATTAAATAGCTGCACGTATTTGGAAGCAAGTAGAAAAATTACATTTTTTTGCGTTTTATTTCTTTTGATGGCTATCTTTAATAAACGGATGTCAGTGAGTGGACAGGAAGCATAGACGCATTACCAGTGAGACTTGCGTTTCAATTTTGAATTTCAGGCAGAGTTTTCCGCCGAGGACATTTGCATTTGGCTCAAGTTTTTTGGATGAAAACACACATAATGCACCTCTACATCCTAAGCAAGACAGTTGGCGTCAGGAAAACACACGTTTCAGACTCGTTACTCATGAAACGTGGAACCACCCTAGTTTTCAACCGAGAGAAGAGGTCTGTTGCAGTCGTTGCTTTTGAAGCACAGTTCTACTGCAGTCATATCATGTTCAATATCCTAGTTTCCAAAATTTCTCTTATTAGCTTCTACTTTTTAGGTTATTGGTTTCCGAGCTTCTGTGAGATGGTGAGAAACACACAGTGGACTTGATCATAAAGTTTTACTGCAATCTATTGAGGTTTTTTCTTGTGTATTTATTTGAAAACTTTTTGAAGAGAACTGTTCAATTTGAATTTTGTTTAATTAAGTGCTGAATTTACTAGTATTGTATGGCATAACGTCCTGCGTAGCTTACGCTTAGACTTATTTTTCATTATTTCAAATCATAGAGGGAGTTAGAAGTAATGGATTTCGAGCCTGATTTTTTAATGACTGTTAACGGTCCTTCCTAGCCTTCTCATAACAGCTTTGTATTTGTTTTTTTTTTTTT